ATGCTCTTGATGATTTTGTTGCTCATTATCTTCTTAATTAGGATTAAAAATAATAAGTCGCTATAAAATTCATTAAATTTTGCGACATTATATTGAATAAATACATTAACTATAGCATCGATAAGATGTCTAACATCGACTAACGTTATTTTCCTCTTAACCTTTTTTTTTCAAAGTCAAAATTTTCAAAATTTTCTTTTTGATTATTGTAACTACTTTTTACAATAAATTATATAAAAGAAATCTGACAATTGTTTAAATGTGCATGTGCAGTACAAAAGCTATTTAAGTAAGACCTTAAACAAACCTTTTCAACTACATAATGTGTACGTTAACTGAACATTTAAAATAACCTAGTGAAAAAATTTTGCAACTTTATTTACGTTCTAACCGGTTCGATTCTCTTTTTATAAACAACATGTATTCACTCAGCAGTGAGCGCTTTGTGAGCTTAAAAGCCTAGAGGCATGCTTTTTGAGGTTTTTGGTAATGTTTCCGATTCTGTGATTTAACTCTTTGTTAAAAATTTTCAAGCAATAGTTGACTCGCGTTCACTTACTTATTAATATACATTTTTAATGTCAAAATAAATTATTTTAGCTTAAGAAGGAATGCTTTAATATGTAGTAAAGTCTTCTACCTTCCAATAAATGACGTTGCAATTTATAATTAAAAGCTTATAATATCTGAGCATCGCCAGTTCATCGTTGTCTTATTTCATTTAAAGGAAATTTTAATTTAAAGCTCTTTTCTGAATAAAGTTGATACGACAAAGTTATAAATCTTCATTGGAAAATACATTTTAAAGAAACTACGTTGGAAATTATTAACAAAATACCCATTTCCTCGTAAAATATGTCAGAACTTTTCCTAAAAATATGATATTAATTAAAAATATAGTAACCTAATTAAAAAGATAAAACCGAAATAAAAGTCATAAAGCAAACCTTTCTTATTATTGTTTAAATGCGTATTATTTTTCTATGCTAATTTTGTGGCAAAAGTTGTTTGTACTTTTGTCTTGGATATCTTAGTCTATGGAAAGTACGGAGTAAAAGTGAAAAGAAACTTTAGACACAAAGATGAATGAGGTTTATTAATTATTAGAGGCGTAGGTGGTGCGATATAATTTGTTAATTAATGTAGGATTTATTTGACTGCCAGCCTCTCTACGGCCGGAGTCGTACTGAATTTTTAATGGCGTACTCGATCTCACTCGGTTACTCAAAGTGAATAATATTATTATCGCGGATGTCCCCACGTCTCACTTACATTGGATTTCATAAATCATTTTTGGGAGCTGAAATATTATACGGCTCTTTTGTGCCGGACGATATACTCGATTTTATTCATTGATAAATGGTTTTTAAACTTACAAAAGCCAGTAAACATCAGATAACTCATGAAAACATATCTAATATACGTCATCTACGACATATACTTAGTGTAATACATTTGCATATTTCTTCTGTACTTTAGTACGATTCTGTACTATAGATGCCAATTTTTGTATTGAAGTTTAAATTAGTATCTGAGAGTGATAGACAATGTAGCTTTTTTTGGTATGCTCAGATTTGTAACTGACAATCTTGATTCGTTACTAGAAACTGAGTCACTTGAAATTAGACAAATTTATAGTTAAATAAATAAGCTGCGAATGTCTCAATACATATATAATGTATGTGTATATGTACTATAATATTTTCGCTGATACACATAATGTTAGAGTTTTGGGAGACGTAAAACGTATCGGCACGTGACTAGAAACTTAACACCATTATAATATCGTTAACTTGTATAATGAGGTTATATGATATTAGAGTCGTAATTTGTTCTTGGTACTTAGTAAGCACAGATCCCTAGCTAACCGTGCGTTTCCACAGTCGCCATTTCTGCCAACACTCAACACATTTGTCTTTTCAAAGAGAATGGAATGATATTTTTTGTTATTTCACACATATATTCATGTTGCTATGTATTAGCACAGATGGTCTATAAAATCAATTCCTAGTAGTCATTTTGATAAACTTATTACCGATACCAATATGTTGATACCTACATATATTACGACACCAAAATCGATTGAAAGGTTTGCTCGTGGCTTTAAGGGCGTGCCGGGGAGCGACTTAAGGTACTAGCATTTACTTGGCCTCGCTAATTGAGCTGGTATTAAGATGGACGTGTGCGCGTCGGCAGATGTCCGGAGACGTTGGTACAAATAATCACAGATTTATTTTGAAATAATTCCAACCTCGACTAACGATTAAATGCAATCAGTTCTATTGAAGCCCCGCATGAGGTAGTAATTAAGTTGACTGAAATATCAATTAAATCACAGCTATTTAAAAATTATTAGCGTAAACGCAACTTATCGTAAATTAGTTAAAACGTATTTTTTTGGTTTGATAGGAATTTGTAAATAGTCACATTCTTTTATAAATCGTTGAAGGATTATAGAGAGATATCAACGAAGTAAAATTCAACGTAAAATATACGTAAAATTTCAGAGCCTCGATGCAAACAAACAAACAATCAAATCTTTCATCTTTATAATATTAGCATAAATTGTAATCTCAATTAAATAACCTATAAAATATAAAAATATAAATAATCTATAAAAAGTAAAGTCATATGTTTAACAGAGAATTTTAAGCAAATCCTTGAAAGTAAGGACGGATTTTTATCACGCAATAATCTAATTCGGCAGAAGGCAGGAGCGTTGGCAAATTCGAGACGTCTCTCTGGAGAGAACAGTTACATCATAAATACACCTAAAATCTTTCTCAATGTTTTAACATGCTTCAGTAATTACAAAATCGTCCATTTATTTTAGTACTAAAGAAGTTTCATTTGAAATTTTGTTTAAAACAACAATTTTAAATTCCACGAATATAAATTTTAATTTGTGAAGTATGAACCACGAGAATAATTTGTAAAATGCTAGTAAATTGAAGTTGTAAGAAGAAGAAGAAGTGATGACAGGAGACAATGTTTATATATGTTAATGTATAAATCCTACTACGATACGATCCTGATCATTGTTCACTCATATCACAAAGACATCCCCCGCTAATTGGCGCTTTAGCCAGGGTTGTCTGAATTTGGTACTATGTAATACAATAGTTCACAGAGGAACAGGTGTAATAATATCAAACAAAGGTTTGCAATCGTAATGGGACAAGTTTCAAATATAATACTACCTTGTGATATTCTATCAGTTAGCAGCAATTAATCCGCTTAGTCGAGCATAAACTGCAAATTAGAATTGGGAGATGCAACCATCTCTCCTCTTCAACGTACGAAACATTTTGTTACAATATCCAGTGTGGAATTTGTTGACGCCCATTTCACACAAAGAATTCCAAATACTGTAAATGGAAGTTCGTACGCAAAGGAAATATTCCTTTGTTTTTTTTGTTGACCGCTTGTGAAACCTCAGAATCAAACTAAAGTCAAATTGTATATAAATCTTAATTTTACTTTTATGACATTTGTCCAAAGTTTAAATGATAATAAACTAGTAAAATAATTATAAAATCTCGAAACAAAATAAATTAAACGTAAGGAAAACCATAAAACCTAAGTTTCAGGAATTGACTAAAACGAGTAATTAAAATTATTTATTACATTCGATGGTATCAAAAACACCAATTGAACAATAAGTAATAAAATCAATAAATTGTCGTTTTTTTGCCACTTAGACCTTTAATGGGTCCGCCATCTTTTGCTGGACACTTTGATGCAATAAACCTGAATGCACGCCGGGAGCAGATTTCTTTTATGCTAACAATGTCTACGAAGCTTCCTTTCTTCTTGAATAATAAATAAAGGTAGTTAAAAATTCTTTTCTTATTAATTATGTTACAAGATATTTGTTATTTATGTAGTGTAATAACTTTATTTTATTATAGTTAATTATAGAGTTTTATATAAAACAAATGAAGGCATTGAAGCCAAGTCAAAATAGTTTTAATTATATTTTCGCTAAGTACAAGTAATATTTGATTATTACAGTTAAAGCTCTCTACATAAATTAAAATTCTGCGATGTTTTCATATGACCATATTAAGTAACTATTTGTGCTCCATATCTTTAGAAAACTGCGTCAGAAGAAATTAATTTAACTAAATAAAAATTCACGATATAGTCCGCACCTTACTTCACCTTGGCCTACTTCTCTTAATTAAGATGTCTGAGCTTTGAACGCATTTAAGTCGTTACTTTCTAAGTTAACATTGTCTGCTCATGCATTTGCTTATCTATTGCAATTTACTTCATACAATGGTTTATATAATTTAAAAGATTTTCTGTTTAATTATTATTAGTATTCGTTCTTATTCGACTAATATTAATCGTGCTATGGTTAGTTTATATTTCCATGTGACTAACGTCAGACATGTGACTACTTTGGTAGGTAGGTAAAGAGTTTTGTTAAAGTGATATTGCTTAATATGTAAATCGTTTTGTTAACAATCTTTGTACAATCTCCACTTTTGTTGATTCATATAGATCTTTCTTCGTAATACGTAATACTCTGGAATATAAAAATCTTTTACGTGAAATATAAGTATTATAAAATGGATATTTCTCATGACTCATTTAAAATGTTACTTAAATATCAACACAAAAACAAACTTGTGTCGGTTACAACTTTTTTTTCGTTTACGACTGCTCGCCGAAGTTACGTGAAAAACCTTTACATAAGTAAACCTTAAAAGTGTTTACCATTTTTCATTTCCCGATGCTATTACGTGGCTGTGAATATGAAAATTTTGTGCAGACTGGAAGACTTAAAAAAACCTTTCCATATTTCAATTTTCAGATTGAGAAATGTTAATGCCCTTTACACCATGTTTATACCTAGAAATGTACTAAGAAAATTCACCTGCTTTAGACATTTTCTATTAACTTTCCCTTCGGTATGTTTGTATGATTTTTAATGATTATTATAATTTTATCAGATTAGAACTGATGAGTGTCATTCGTTCTGTTGTGTGTAGGTGGAGATGCTGTATCAGCGCTACTTCTTGCGCATGAACCAGACCAACATAACACACCTGCTGGGACTGCTCCTCACGGTCACCATGGCACTGATGGTGGTGCAAATACAGTCCCTACTCACCGCTGAGAGCTACTTCAGAGACATCTTGACACCACCAAACTCTACTACGATATATACAAATGAACAACACAAGTAAGTTGTTTTACTATTAATAAAGTAAACATGACCGGATATATATTTTATATACGTTTATACACCAAAACAACTAACTTAATTATTGATGATTTATATCACATACTGTAATCTATATTTGTTTCAGGCCAGATCCTCAGAGGGACGTATACCTTACCCTTGACGACTTGTACTACGCACGAGACCGCATCGCCCACATTATCTGCGTCATCGTGCTGGCGATTGCCTCCCTCATCTATGGCTGTAAGTACTCACTAGCGTTTCCCCTTAATATATAACTTGTGGACCTTCAAGCGTAGAGTGAACAGGCACTTTACAAATTAGCTCCCAAAATCTTTCTACCTCATCACCATTTACCATCAGATATCAGATGGGATCGCGGTCAAACTCTATTCATTGTAGACCAACACTGCAAATATTTAACTCAAAGTTTACATAAGGTTATCGTTTCCATTACTTAAGCATTCTATAATATCATCAAAATCATATCAAAACTATAACTTTAACTGTTAACTTAGTAGTCTATATACAAGGTTTTAGATGTTGAACATAGAATTAACTTTAGTGTCAAAAGTTTTACTAAGATAAGAAATGTTGTAGCATTAATTAAATAATCATATTATAGCAATTTTGTGTAGTGGACGATTCACTTTGAAGTAAACAGTTCGGTAAATTGTAATAGTGTGTTGATTACCAGGCCTCATCGCTTGCCTTAGCCGGCCGGCGATGAACGAAATATATCTGCTCACCATATCCTACGTCGTCTTGGGCACATTTTTCCTTATTGAACTGGCACTTACTGGGACCCTGGTTTATAGGTACGTATTGAAATTTATTTTTAAAATCATTGTTAATATTACAATTATCATTCTGCATTTCTTATAATATTAATTTAATAGTTAATTTTGTAACCCCTTCTTTGGTATTACAGTACGTGTTGGTGTAATTGTAAAGATGTAAATTATAGACTATTCCAGAATCAGTTTGATTTAAAACAATTCTTTAAATTGCTAAGATATTTGTTTAGTATAAAAATATTATGTTCTTACTAAAGCTAGTTTGTGACACCTAACTACTCCAACTTGGAACAATGCTCGCCGCAAGCCAAAGTTGTATTTGTTAATTCCCCTGTTGTATACGGTTACTTGAGTTTTCGCAACTTTCGCATCCATAAGCACTCGCTTTGACAACTTTTCACTCCGATCTCTGTAGTGATTTAATGTTTCAATTTGTTGTATCATAACATTTAACATGGTTATACACAATTCGCTCCTTCTCTATTTTATTGAAACTCCGAAGCTTTGTACTACGTGTTTGAAAGAAAAACAATAACATTTCGTAACCGTACTTATTATTCGATGTCAGATTATACAAGTTGTGACTCGACCGAGAGGCTCGAAGCTTACCCAAGTTCTTAACCTTGCAAGGCCCAATGCGGGTTAATTGACTTTGCACATATCTTTGAATTTTTTCATAGATATGTGCAGGTTGCATTTCGATGTTTTTTCCTTCACCGTAAATGGCTTGGATGGAACCTGGACGTGTAGATTTTGGTCCGTTTCGGTCAAGGGTTTGCAGCTGCCCCACTGATGCTCAGTGTTATTGATCTTTAATGTAATTTAAATAGATATGTGATGAGATCAAAAGATAAAATTGTATTCGAGTTACTGTGATATCAAAATACGCTTCGCTGAGCATATACATATTTCTTTCTTACGATAAAATTGTAGAGATATAGAATTTTATTTTGACATATAATATTTATTTTACTGTATCCTTGTTATAATTTTCCTCAGCTGTTATGGTTTAGATAATACTAGATTTATTTAGTTTTATTAAATTAACATTTGAAGTTGATTTGTGCTGTAAATTTTAATGCTAAAATGCAAATAACATGAAAAATAATGTTAACGCTGCTTTTGTTTTAGGTTTTTATATCATGAACTTTATCGGGTGTCCTCAGCATACCCTACTAATATTAATACCTAAAAAATAACTTTAAAAATAAACTTGAATAAGTAAGAGTCCAGAGGAGCGCGATATTTTTCTCGCATAGAATTCAATCAATAAATCTCTCACAAACTGCTAGTTCCTCGCTAATCCATGTTGGAGCTTATTTGAATGTGTTAACAATATGTTCGGTGACAGATCGTTGAGTGTGAGCTGTGGCGTTTGCGTTCTGTTCATCTACGTGACGTATGCCACGCTGCCGGTGCGCCTGCACGAGGCCGCCATCGCAGGTTTCTGCCTCGCAGCCATCAACATCATCGCACAGCTCATACTCTTCGAAGCTACGAAAACTCAGGTACATTATATAAATTTGTTTTCCTTACAATAAATAGCTGGTGATATAAAATATTTTTGCAAAATAAGCTACTTATTTTAAGTTTACGAATTTACGAGCTTATATCGTCATTATGCTATGGTTATTAATTTAGTAAGTAACGATCTGTTTTGGTACAGATCTTTTGCAACGTGCTCGCTTTGGTGATCAGCAACATTGCGGGAATCATGACTCACTACCCGCGGGAGCTTGCCCAGCGAAGGGCGTTCCTGGAGACCCGCGACTGCGTCGAGGCCCGCCTCGTCACACAGCGCGAAAACCAACAACAGGTAAGGATTAGCTTACTGCCGTATACAGGGGTCAATGGTTCACTAAGGGAGACCATCAGTGAACATTTATCTTACTCAGCCAACACTTAACGTATATAAATATGTTTGTTATCGGATCTGAGATTCATTGATCATAAGATTTGCTCCGTATAAAGTAATATTCAGTTCAGTACTTTATGTCGAAGTATTAATACAGATAATCCGCTGTTCAAACTACTTAGCACTTCAAAGGGGAAATATCAACATGAAATTTATTTGGCCTCTTAGATATTAAATCGATTAAGTATTACCACGAAGGGTATGAACAAATGTGATATTCGGAAATTGAAAATTGTACTATGATTATTGTTTAAGAAATGTAATATGCATTTCTGAATTTGGTGAAATCGTATCGCCAGTAACATTATTGATTATGGATTTGCTATAGCAAGAGATTAAGAATCTCTAGCTATTTATGGAAATATTTCTTTCAAGGAAATTCGCTATCGATTCTTTGCGACAATTAACAACCCCGTTGAACCTTTACGAGAAAAGGAAAAAAAAATTATAATAAAACATTTCTTATGCTTTAAAAATTGTAATATGAACTTATTAATATCACATACGGAACCAATTTAATATAGACAAATAATAATTAGCAACAGGGTCGTACCCGTAACTTCAAACATACTCGTATCTCTGTGTTAACTAGTTGTGTGACAAGTTTAAGTCAAACATTAAACTTAATTTTCCATTTACAGTTTGGTTTGACAGTGCAAAGTGGATGGATTATTTTACAATTTATTCTCAAGAGTATAAAACGTACAATATATCGATAGTTATTTAGTCAGTTTTAACTAATCAAACAAAGTACGTTTAATTATTTTTTTTTATAAATTATAATAACATGTTTTTAACCATCAAACATTATACATTTGGTTCTCTCTGTAAATAGTTGCCAGTAATATTTTGCCGTAGTCGTCCTCGTCGAATGATATGAAATAAATTCTGAATCCTGTGTCAGTACAATAAAAATAAAACCAAAAATTAAAAAGCTGGAATTGCATGCAACGGAAATAGAAGACTCTAAACAATGTGGCTACGTTCCGTTCGTTCCCTACGTTGACAAAAATAAGAGAGAAAAACAATGACGCCTATACGATACACGAGGCGGCAGTGTCCAGTGGCCGAAACGTAGCAACGAGAAAATTAACGCGCACAACTCACCAATTATTTGCCGGCGCAACGTACGAGTACGTTGTAATTACGTGAAATCACATTTTATAGTAACTTGTTGCCCGCGACTTTGTCCGCCTTGAGTAATGACTAAGAACATTTTATAGCCTTTAATCGTATAATATGCCTTATGAGAAACAATTTGTTGTAAACGCTGGATCTATTTCCAAAGAACTGAATCGAGTTGAGTGTTTTATAATATAAAGCTCTAAATAAATTTATTTAGCTCTAACATTAATATAACTATTGAGGTTTTGTTTCTAACGTAACAAAATATTCAATAATAATTCAGTATAAAAGATGTAAGTTAACCCGGTAATGGATGTATTCAATAAGAAACTCCTTACGTATTGATAAATGTGGATAAATGTGTTGTTTTTTCTGTAACATAATCCCGAGTCTTTGTTGGTGTTCATTACAGCGGGCAAAGTGGCATCATTATCACACGTCACGTATCACTCATCCCGTGACGTGCATCGCTAATCCATGGACCCGCACACCGGAATTAACATCCGAAAATCTAATAAATTATTATGCTAACAAAGATAGCATTGTACTGCGAATCAGACCTACTGTTCTATTTTTAACATTGCTATAATTATATCGTTACAATGTAGTCATATTAATCTTTTTGATATAACTACAATAATAATATGACTCACAAGTATGACCATGACCCAGAGAGCAAGACAGAGATTACGTTCCTCCATTTTGTGCGATTCTTACAAATTACTCTCACTTTTTCCTCAAACGTTACATTATGCTTGCACGCCTGCCCTTTAGTTCATTATTATCTTGTTTCGCATTCTAATAATTAGCAAAATCAAAAAGATTCTAATGGTGTAAAATAACGTATTTTTTTAACTCTTATTTTATTTTCTCTTTTAACCTTGGTCTGTTATTTCAGTTGTAAACGGCATTATTTATCGAAGCCTACAGAATGGTAACGAATGCGAGTGCTCGTGACGGGTTGGGTCGTCATTTGACTAGATATCCCGTCAATATCGATGTGCTAACATTATGAATTCCATTTGTCTTGTGTTTGCAATAATATAGCGCTGTATTTTGACCATCGTATTATTGACATTTTCAATTACTTATATAATAAGTTTTATTTTATTTTAATGAACATAAATCTTACAAACAAGTACTTATTCTATAAAAATGTGACAAATTGTCCACTTTTTATTTTATTTAAAACTATCATTACAATTAAATGTCATAACAACAATCAATTACTTTTTATCGCAAATAACACAATAATTAAATAAAATATCCATATATTGCAAAAACAAATGAGAGAATTTCATTTAGGTACAATATTTGTACTACATATTTAATGATGCCGTTTTTTCCACAAACTAATCTTTAAAAAATATAAGCCAGAAATGAGAACATATTTGTTGAGTTTTACGATTTCCATATGAAGTGAGTTGACTAGCTTATAATTAAACTTGTCGACGGTTTTTGCAACGTGCTTTAACTTCGTTTTAAAATGTCATTAAAATACTGGTCTCCTAATTGACTTATATTCACACACACACACACACACACACACACACACACACACACTTATATCATTTCCTGACAATTTACGCTAGCGATTATATTTAGTATTAATATATTCACGACTCTATTTTTATATGCCTTTGAAATATCTTTAGATATTTCAGATTCTTAAGAAAGTCACAATGACAGCAAAACCATATGGGTATATTTGTTTTGGCAAAGTCAAAGAAATAACGAGCTTTGTTTGTTCTCAATAATATGTATTTAGAGATATGATCAACATAATATATAATTAGCTAATGCAAACATTAAAATATAAAAAGAAAACTCTATATTTTGTATTATTCTTAAAAGTTATTTAACAAAACAGTTGAAATTATTTAACATACTGAAATGTGTAATCGTTACCAGATACTAGGTTCAGAAAATCATTAAGCAGATTTTCGTAGCTTAAAACGATTAAAAGAAAAATATCGATAGTGACATTAATGTGTTTGTTGCAGGAACGTCTTTTGCTGTCTGTACTACCGCGACATGTTGCAATGGAGATGAAAGCGGACATCGCTAACCAACCAAGGCAGGAACAATTCCACAAGATCTACATACAACGCTACGAGAATGTCAGGTCAGCACGCACGAATATATGAATTAGTTTCATTCTATTTTGTGTTCATAGGAAACAAATAGTAACATATTAAGAAGTAAAGAAATATACATAAGTATCAAATGGAATTGAACCGTAAAATGAATTACAATAAAACTGTCTGTAGAATTCAATACTGTGCAAGATGCATTCCTTCTAAAACGTTTTGTGAAATATATCGCTAACACGATTTCTTTCGAACTCACTGATCCGAGTTATATGGCAAGTTGAAGATACTACTCTGGAAATAAAACAGCTAGTTCTGCCCAATTTTACAACAATATTTTATCTGAAATTGATATTTATTGGTTTTTATTTTTATAAATGTTCTTTCTCAAGTAGATGTTTCGTCGCTCAATTAGATGTTTTAAAGTTAAATATAAAATTAAATACAATCACTGGCTACAATACAATAAGAGTTAGTATAATTTATAACCGATTCTAACTATAGAAATAATTATAAACAACTAAAGCCATCAATAAACCCGATCTAGTCGTGATACAAACACAATTTGTTAAGCTATTTAGAAGAAATTAGATTAATTAGTTCTTCATGAATCAACAAATAGTATTATATAAAATATTTTGTTACGGTAATAGTATCTAGCTGTATTATAGCTATGTGTAGGTAAAATTGAGTAAACGCTTCAAATATTCGCGAAAGTTGGTATTTGGTAAGCGCGCGATTGTTCGCCGAGGCGTAACACGTCGCAAAGCTAGCTCGTTATCAGTGCGCGAAACAGTTTAAGCGCCGCCGATATTGCGTTCCATCCCAGAGAACACTCCAACTTACAAACGGCAATTATATACTTTGATATGTTATACATTCGCCACATTTTCCCGATAGAATTGAGAAATAGGACAGCGAAAAATGAAATACCTTTGAAAATAAAACACGTATAATTTCCCTTCACTTTACTGAGATTTAATTTACAACTAGCGACATCTAACTTCATAAGCCAGATAGTAGAGTGTTGGTTCATATTTATTGCACTATCGTAAGTAAATTGATATAAATAAAGGTATGATTAATTTAAGAATTTGTTGTGACTTATTGAAATATTGATATAAGACTTGGCGTCGCCGCAAATGAAATTTTCCACATTACGTCGCCATTATTCCGATGAAAGTGTGCACGTATTCGTAATGTAGATAACAAAATGTTATTGTTAAAATATTGTTTATTAGTATTGTTTATAAACATAATTAACAATACAAGTGCGCAGCTTTGCCCAACGACATTGTTTACTTGCATTTGCTTTAAAGTCCATTAATTACAGTACCAATTATGTCTGTTGTTGTGATGGAAAATAACTCCAGACAAAACAACTTCAATGTTTGTTATCGTTCCTTGGCATTTCTGGAACTTTCTTATTTAAGTTAAACATGCAATGTACATATGCTCAATGTACTTTATATGTTTTTATATTTGTTGATTGTTATGTAGATATAACTTGCGAACCATTACGTCGCAGTATCGTGTTGAAAAAGCTTATATTTTATACAGACCTAATCTAGATCATCATCAATGTCAATCATCTGTTAGCACAGTACTACAGTGGGGGGAATTAGTGAGGGCTGCCTTGCACAATACTTGTCATGTTAGTCATGTTCATAAAACTACGCTTCTTTTGTCTACGCCTTATATTTTCCTTAAACTAGTTTACTTGCTCGTACATGTTAGAATTTTTAAGTTTAAAAGTTCAACTAGACAAACTGTGGGTCTAACACGAATGTTTGTGAGAAAAGCCTTCCTATCGACATCGTTAATTATGTCAAAATTAGTGTGAAATCTTTGGTGTACTTTATACCCTCTAGAGGCGCTGCACAAATGTTTTAAATGACTTTGACTTCGATGACTTGATGATTATGCATTACGTATAGTATGAAAAGATAAAATTATTGTTCTATATCTCATTGTGTTATATCTTACAGGGCCAAAAAATAATTTATGTAATTTTATAGCATCCTGTTCGCTGACATCTGCGGCTTCACCTCGCTATCGGACCAGTGCACCGCCGAGGAGTTGGTGCGACTGCTTAATGAGCTC